GCAAGTGGAAGCAGAATGGGTGGCAAATGAATGTGGACTGGGTGGCAAATGAAAGAAACTGGGTGGCAAATGAAAGCAGACTAGGTGGCAAGTGAAATGAGACTGGGCGCAAGGGAAAGCAGACTGGGTGGCCAAAGAAAGCAGACTGGATGGCAAGTGGAGGCAGAATGGGTGGCAAATGAATGGGGACTGGGTGGCAAGTGAAAGCAAACTGGGTGGCAAGTGAAAGCAAACTGGGTGGCAAGTGAAAGCAGACTGGATGGCAAAAGAAAGCAGACTGGATGGCAAGTGAAAGCAGACTGGGCGGCAAGTGAAAGCAGACTGGGTGGCAAGTGAAAGCAGACTGGGTGGCAAGTTAAAGGAGACTGGGTAGCAAGTGAAAGCAGACGGGGTGGCAAGTGAAAAGAGAATGGGTAGCAATTGAAAGCAAACTGGGTGGCAAATGAAAGCAGACTGGGTTACAAGTGAAAGCAGACTGGATGGCAAGTGAAAGCAGACTGGGTGGCAAGTTAAAGGAGACTGGGTGCCAAGTGAAAGCAGACGGGGTGGCAAGTGAAAAAAGAATGGGTGGCAAGTGAAAGGAGACTGGGTAGCAATTGAAAGCAAACTGGGTGGCAAATGAAAGCAGACTGGGTTACAAGTGAAAGCAGACTGGATGGCAAGCGAAAGCAGGCCTGGTGGCAAGTGAAAGCATACAGGGTGCCAAGTGAAAGCAGACTGGGTGGCAAGTGAAAGCAGACTGGGTGGCAAAAGAAAGCAGACTGGGTGGCAAGTGGGAGGCAGAATGGGTGGCAAATGAATGGGGACTGGGTGGCAAATGAAAGAAAACTGGGTGGCAAGAAAGCAAACTGGGTGGCAAGCGAAAGCAGACTGGATGGCAAAAGAAAGCAGACTGGGTGGCAAGTGAAAGCAGACTGAGGGCCAAGTGAAAGCAGACTGGGTGCCAAGTGAAAGCAGACTGGGTGCCAAGTGAAAGCAGACTTGGTTGCAAGTGAAATGAAAATTTTATTAATTCTAGCTCAAGACTAAAACTCTGTTTGCTACCATAAGACAACATAAACATTTTGAGTATAGGACTCTGTGGAAAACCATTATAGTGTTGTTCCATAATTGTGTCAATGTTATAGTACAATACAGTTGATTTTATTTTATTGATTTCAACCTTAAAGCCTGGGCACATATTTTGCCACCTTTCCTTTTCCAGTACAAAACATAAAATATTCAGAAACTGTAGTTCTGTAATGGCAATTTAAATATTGCATGCACCTTAAACACCACAGCTACTGTGATTGGATGAATGGGTTTCACTGCTTTAAATTGTTATTTTACTATATGCAAATGAATGTAAGGAATAGGTAATGTGAAATAATTGTATAACTTTTATCTAATTCATGAAATGGTTAAATTGGTATATAACAATAATAGTGATTGAATATTATAAAGATGTTACCATAATTATTGCTAATGAATGTGGATACAATGTTACGTAATGTCCGAATGCTACACTGTATTATCACTGGTTTCTAACCTCAATAGCATTCTGATCTGTTTGTTTGGTCATCATTCATGCTTAAAAAATCCAGTAATGACAGGTAGAAAATGAACAAAAAAGGTCAGAATATACGCAAAATAAATCCCAATATGTTTGATCTATAACAAGGTTGTATTTACTGCATGAATAATGAGACAGTGTGAATATAACTGTCACATGTATGGTAATAATATATTCATTTTTCTCTGTATCAAAGTTGAATAAATCTTTCAGACTGCAGGTACACCAGAAAGGAAGGCAGGCTCTTTCCAAACTAACAAATCACTTTTTCTGACACTTTTCTGATCTTTTATTTATAGCATTGCTCTCTAACTATAATAATTATTAATTTAATGTATTTAATTTGTCTCTTTCATAGATGAAAATGAGGAAGGAACCAATCCAACGTTGCGAGCTGGACGACACGAGCTGTCTTTTCGATTTCAGATCCCGATGGGGTGAGTATATGATATAGCTGTATTTTCTTCTTTTATCTCTGAATGGTTATTTTTCCAGTAGTATTCTTTCAAAGGCTGTTTTTCCAGCATTACACTTTAGAAGACTGTTTTTTTTCAGCCTTTATAATCATTGGAAGGCTGGTTTTCCAGCAGCAATCTATTGTAGTTGTCTCTGGAAGGCTGGATTTCCAGCATATTCTCTGGAAGATTCAATTTCATGCTTTAATCTCTGATGGCTAGATTTGCAGTATTAATCTCTGGAAGGCAAGATTTTTGACTGGTCTTACTATTCAAAAAAAGAGTAAAAGAAAAATTAGTGACATTAAAAGCATTGTATGTTTAATCTCGACTGTGCACAGATTTATATTAACTAGTAAACCCAATCTGTATTGAAATACAACCACATTGCTAGCAGCTGCAATGTAACTAATTAACTGTGATGGAAAGTAGTGATACCTGCACTGTTGTCATAGTGATGGCAAGTAATATAAACCTCTTGATTATATAGGCCATCTTCAAGTGACTGAAATTTATAGTTTTATACACATAAGTGTATTTAGTTGTAATTGAAACTGGATTGGTATATGATCAGAGATACACGGTGCTAGTCTGATGAGGTTGAGGTGGTAGATTGGATAAGTGCTATACATGTAATCAAACAGATGATTAAGTACCTCTTCCAGTACAGAATGTGGATTCAATTTACTTATTGTCTTTTTACAGACGAGTGGCAACTTCCTTTGAAGGCAAATATGGAAGAGTAAGATATTGGTTGAAAGCTGAAATTGACAAACCATGGGCTTTTAATAGCCGTACTAAAAAGGCTTTTACTGTAATTGATCATATTGATATTAATACGCCGTCATTGATGGTGAGTATCAATGGTTGATGAGATCCGCTAGCCTTGTTCAATATTAATTATAGACATATGATTATACAGCTGTCAAATATGAATATTGTGCATATATGAAGATTTGAAATTGGTGTTTGTCAGGTTGTCAAGAACAACCCCATTTGCCATTGGACAACCAGATCTTGATTGGCTGTGCATTGGACAACCAGATCTTGATTGGCTGTGCATTGGACAACCAGATCTTGATTGGCTGTGCATTGGACAACCAGATCTTGATTGGCTGTGCATTGGACAACCAGATCTTGATTGGCTGTGCATTGGACAACCAGATCTTGATTGGCTGTGCATTGGACAACCAGATCTTGATTGGCTGTGCATTGGACAACCAGATCTTGATTGGCTGTGCATTGGACAACCAGATCTTGATTGGCTGTGCATTGGACAACCAGATCTTGATTGGCTGTGCATTGGACAACCAGATCTTGATTGGCTGTGCATTGGACAACCAGATCTTGATTGGCTGTGCATTGGACAACCAGATCTTGATTGGCTGTGCATTGGACAAATTGTCGACTCTTGTGTGCGAAGCACACAATGGGTGTCTTTGCGGTAAGTGTGTCTGTGTATTTGTCTGTCTGTGTGTGCGTCTGTTCCACTGATATCTCAAGAATCAATTATCAGATTTCAATGAAACTTGGTGTATATTTGCTCTGGGTTAATGCTCAGACCTGATTATTTTTTGGTTGAAATCTGTGCATATTAATTACTTGTTATTAGTTTCATGTGTATTCCTTAATAATATGCATAACTGTAATGTACTAAGTACTGTTGAAGATAGGGACAAGCTATATGAATAAAATATGACCTCATCATATATGGTCATTATTTCATTAAATATTTATAATTGTTAAACCATAGCTACTTGGAACCATCCTGATTATTGCTTGCAGTTATATTTTTAAATACTGTATTTGCTCTATTAGAAGCATGTTAGAAGTGCTTTGTGTGAAAATATAGTACAAAATGAATCATATTTCAATGATTTTGCATGCACTAAACACAATTTTTGCTTAATGTGTATTGTAGATGTGTATATAATACAGTATTTGTACTTCATGCCTCCAATACCTTCAGCACACAGGAGTTCTTTCTAAGTTTTCTTTCTTCAATTTTTTTTTTTAGAAATCAAAATTTGTATATGCAACATTTCAATATTTGTAGTCTATTGCAGTATTATTTTACTGGAAAAAAGTTCAATTTTAAACTTTTTGTCAATAGTGAAATTCATTGTATGTGTCTTACAAGCAGCAGCATCAAAATGTGTTTACTTATGAATTTTTTGAAACAATACTTTTGCTAAAAATATTTAGAATTCTTTTTTTTTTTCAAATCTTTCCTTGTATCACCATTCAATATTTGCCTACCCTTACAGTTAAATGTGCAAAATAATAATAGAGGGCGCCATACTGTAGATTGAGAACTACCGGCATGCTGAAATGTGTGCTGACACTATTTGAATCTATTGAATACAGCAAGGGTTCTGACATGTCAACCTATTGTATTAGTTATCTCGCATGTTTTGTTTTTTCAAAACACTTGATTTGAAAAAGTTTCACTATATGTTATTTACAGACACCTGTTGGAGGAGAAAAAGAGAAAACCGTGTGTTGCTGGTTTTGTACTTCAGGTCCGATAACCATGAATGCCCGTACTGACAGAAAAGGATACTGCCCAGGTTATTCAATTTATTATTTACTTCCTACCAAATAATCACAAGGTCTTGGTCTTTTGTAATAATGTAAATGTAAAAAAAAAGAATAATGTAAATTGACATACTGTAGTTTCCAGCAATTCCAAAGAAACATACACCCCATTTTTTTCATTTCTCTCTGATCGCTTATCAAAACACAAGCTGACAGTGTGTCAACATCTGTTGAATACTAATTGGTGATGTCAGAGAACACAATGTGATTTTCACAATTAAGATATTTTGGAATTGCTTTTGGTGGCATGCATAGTTGTGTTGTATGGACGGTAAAATTTAAGTTTGTGACACATGTTTTAAAACCAAATGCTTGACACTTTTTTGTAACTTTTTTTCTCTATAATCAGGGGAATCCATTGCAATAATTGCAGAATTTGAAAACTATTCCACCAGGAGGATTACACCGAAAGCTATGCTCTTTCAACGTACTGTATTTTATGCTGGGGGAAAGTCGCGTTCTGTTCGGAACAGTGTGGCCAGTGTTCAGGGGGAGGTGATACCAGCTGGCAGAATGGCCAGGTGGGATAATAAGCTGTTGAAAATACCTGCTGTTACTCCCTCACTGATAAACTGTGGAATTATAAAAGTGGAATACATTTTAACAGTAAGTGTTGTATTACAACCTTGTATTTCACATCAAGATATTTTCACTGCACAAGTTTTCTATCATTTTCACTTAAATTTCATCAGTCAAATTGCATGTAAAAAAATGCTTTATTTAATCATTACTATCATTACAGTAAATATTATTCTGACTAGAATTGTGACTGTGACTTAAAAAACTACTCACTGGTCAGTGCTTTAAGGTAGCTTTAATTAGTCTGTTCATTTCAAACCAGTGCCCCTGCTTCTATGATGTGACTATGCTCTAACAGTGGTATTTCAATACATTTTGTATTTGCTCTTTAACAGTGTCTCTATAGTCAAAATATGTTATATTTTAATAAACCCAGCAAACAAGAAATGCAATTGATAGAGCCAATATTATTGTACACTAAGATCAATTACAAGTATCTCATTGTTTTTTTTTTCAGATTTATTTAGATATTTCTGGTGCTATGAATCTTTACCTCCATCTACCAATAGTTGTAGGTACTGTGCCACTTAGAGCACCTCCATACAGCCAGTTTGATCCATTAGCTACCTTAGGAGATGTCTTTCTTCATCTTGCCGAGAGAAATAGAATTCCACCTCCTCCTCCTGTTGCTCCAGTACTTCCACCACTCAATGAAGGTAAGCATATATATATATATGCATAAAATTGGTTACCATGGTTATGAAATAATGCAGGGCTCGAATGTCACTCATTTGCAGTTGAATGTTAAAAGCAAGTAAAATGTGGTCCAAAAGTTCTGAGTGAAATGTAATGATAGCTCATCATTTCTTTGAACCTGCACTAAAAAACGTTTTCTTAAACTTCCAGCACCTCCTAGTTACGCAGAATGTGTTTTTGGTGCCACAGATATTAGAGACAGTGAAGATAACCAGTATACAATTGGAGATACAATGTTTACACCCATGTACACCTATGTGCATGACTACAGGTTTATTCCACCTGTACCCCCACCAGAATATTCTAGGGTAAGAATACGAATAAGTATTAAAACACATCTAACACACATTGTTAACTTTTCTGATGCATCCATGAATAAACAGAAAATGGGATTCTCTAGGGACTGGTGGATCATATTTTATTAATCACAGTAATTTCCAAGATAATTAACTAACTATAATAGCCTGCATCAATATAACTATGCAATCTGAACCTGGTAATTAACTTAATCTTTGGAAGGTATATACTTAGTAATAGTGATTGATACTCAAGTTTTCTCACATGCAGTGATAAAAATAAAATAAATTTTACAGGGATTTGATTAAAAACCATCAATATGTTTATAACCAAGGACGTATGAGATAAGGGCACTCAACTGATGAGTCATGGGATGAAGATCCTAATCTTGAAGTCACATGACTTGAGATGATAACAAATCATGTATATTTATAGAAATACTGAGTGTGTCTATGAATACGTTTTTCTTGTGTATTCTTTATTATTTGCAAAGCATGCATTTTGTGCTGGTGCTTTTTATTACCTTCGCTGTTGACTTCGTCAAGCGAAGCTCATCATATGAGTGATTGTCCGGCGTCCGTGTCAATGTTTTACTATTTCGACTTCTTCTTGAAAACTACAAGCCTGAATGCTTTGATACTTGGTGTATATGTACCTTGGGTAGGCTTCTCTTAGATTTGTTCATTTCATGATGATATCTTCAATTCTCTAATTTTGATGAATATTTTTGTCATTTTTGGTAAAAAGTGATATTTTCGACTTCTTATTAAAAACTGCAAGTCCAATTGCTTTGATATTACATATATAGGTACTACATGTGGACCTCTCTCAGATTTGTTCATTTCATGATGATATCTTTAATTCTCTAATTTTCATGAATATTTTTGTAATTTTTGGTAAAAAGTGATATTTTCAGCTTCTTGTTGAAAACCACAATCATTTATGGTGAAAAATTATATTTTTGAATTCTTGTTGAAAACAGCAAGTCTCATAGCATTGATACTATGCATATTGCATATCCAATTGCTTTGATATTACATATATAGGTACAACATGTGGACCTCTCTCAGATTTGTTCATTTTGTGATAATATCTTCAATTCTATAATTTTGGTGAATATTTTTGTTATTTTTGGTAAAAAGTGATATTTCTTGTCCAATTGCTTTGATACTATACATATTGTTCATTTTCTAATGATATCTTTAGTTCTTTAATTGAAATGTGCATTGCTAACAGCAAAGCTATCTCAGCCAACTGGCTGCTTGTTGAATTCATTGATTACTTCTCTCATTTCTGGTTCCCTTTCCAAGCATCCAGGGTGTTCTGCAATGCCATTTGACTGAAATGTACATAAGATTGATGTACACATGGTAATGAGATCTCAATCCCATATCACTGCATAGACACATACCCTTGTCTTTTGTTATTGGTATAGCATACATGACATATATGTACATTACATGTAAATGTAGACCAAATTAACCTTTGGGTGATAGATGGTTGATTTATAATACAAATCTGCATAAAGAAAACAAATTCTATTGGGGGAATTACGGAACCATCATATTTAAAAAAAAGATAAAAAACATGAACCAACTGAAAAAAGAAAAGCCCTTGAAAAAATTATTGAAGATAATGAAAAAGTGAAAAAAATGAGACAAAACTCATTTTAGATACTAATTCTCAGAGTTACTGTAAATGTTTCTCATCTTGGGTAAGGTTTGAACTCTTTAATTACATCTTACCACATGCAAGACTTCCCTCTGCAAAGTATTCATTTGAGACTGTTCCATTTTGTTGCAGGTGGATCCGAACCAAATATCTATTCAAACTCAAACAGAAGACAACAGGGAACATTTCTCATGAAACCAATGCTTTCTATTAGATTTTATTTTATGGGACCACTTATAAACAAAGATATTACAGCGTTGTTAGTCACTTCATATATGGTCATGGAAGATATCACAGCGCTGTTAGTCACTCCAAATATGGTCATTGAAGATATCACAGCACTGTTAGTCACTCCATATATGGTCATAGAAGATATCACAGCGCTGTAAGTCACTCCAAATATGGTCATTGAAGATATTACAGCGTTGTTAGTCACTCCAAATATGGTCATGGAAGAACTTTGTATTCCAAAAATAAAATCTATTTTTTTTTTTTTATCTCAAAATTTTATATTTGGGAATGCATCTAAATTAACTGGAATGACATGTGTATTATGATAGTCTTACTTTACAGATAGTCTATATGATGAATTATTATTATTATTTTTTCAATATGCTTGGCCTCATTTCCTCTTTCACTGGTCTGGAAACTGTGAATATCACGATTAGTGCAGGTATCTGCAAAATGCTGTGATACATTAATTGTAAAATCCTGGAATCAGATTTTTTTGCATCAGGTTCATGTGATAGGCAGGTTTTGACACAGTCATTGTAATTTCATGTTACAAAATTGAATTTGTAGATGAGTGGTGAAAATGATGAAAAAAACTCCAGATAATCTTTATACAGGAGGGTATGTGAAGAATGAATTTGAGATGTTCACCATCACTAATTTTGTTTAATTTGAGTTTCACTGTTATTTATGCTATTAGATGTGCATATCCTAAAAATACAACCAACATTTGAATTTATTAAAATGTAACTGGCTTTGTCTATAGACATCATTTATATAATCACATGCACTAATAATAGCGCAAATATGATATTATACATGACTCATCATTTTATGGAGATCAAAATCAATCTAAAAAAAAAAGACTTATTGTGAGGCTGATCTATTAAAGGACTGTGGTTTGCATGTATGTTTGTTTTCATATCTATGCTAATTAGCACTATAAATTTGTGTAACCATGGTGATTTAAACAAGGTGCGAGTCTCATTGAAACAATGCGCACAATCACAAATTCACAAAATTCTTCATCAAATTTTCAAACTGTTTCTGAAACAAAGTGTGTTTACATGTGTGCTGTGAAATCCTCCATTACAAACATATCACTCAAAGTTATTACTTGGGGCAGTGAGGTTCCTGCTAAATGATGTGATGTAGATTCTGATGTTTCCAGATAAAGCTTCTAACTCAGAATATTTTCCAGAGTTAGATTTATTCTTATAACATTTTGGTGCAGAGTGCTTCCAAAACAATGGAGATGATTGCTCACCACATCTGTCAATTGTATTGTCATATAAAGGTAACTTCTTAAGTAGATGTGGCTAGAAAAAAAAAAATTTCTTACTTTTTTTTAAAAAAGAAATCTGCTATTTCTGTCTTTTCTTACTGCCAATTTAAATGTTAAAAAATCAGAGCATATTTATTCATGAAAAACAACCTTTTTTCAATATAAAAATGATATTTTCAAAGAATTTAAAAAGAGGCTCTTACAACTGGCTATTTCTGATACCCTGTTGTAATGTAGTTGCATTTAACCAACAGTTTTTGTAAATCAATTACTGTAAATGAATTAATTGTTCACTGGGTTTTAATTTTGCTATTTTTGCTGATAAGTAAAATCTGCTAAATCTATGTCAACATGTAAAATAACATTAACACTCATTGTTTCCTTCACAAAATAATGATTTTAAAACACAGTGAATATGCACAAAACATCAAAATAGTGAAATTAAACATTGGTGAAAATAAATTGTTTTACAGTATTGCGTAATTGATAGATGGTTTTGTCCTCTGAACCCTTGCATTTCCATCTTTTAATAGTGTTTAAACAAACTGAATATTCACGAAAAGAAACCTGTGAAATTATCAATGCTACTAATTGTCTGATACTCCGTGACATTTGTAAAAATTCATGTCAAGTTGTGGCAAAGTTTTTGTCTAAATTATCATAAATTCCTGTAGAGACAATTATGATTGAATTTTCAGCTTGGGATATGTAAAAATAAATGATTACATAATGCTTAATTCAGTGTAATTTTCCCTCATTGAACACCCCATGTCTTGTTTATCTTGTTTATCTTGTTTATCTGTGAACATAAAATTTGTCATTACTTGTTCTATGACCAGGAAATTCACAAATGTCTTAATTTGCTTTAAAATTATTCAATACCTGGCTTTCCTTGCAAAATATAGCAGACAATACTACTTTGAAGCAATTTCCACAATGAATGCTGCATTGTGGGTATCGGTTGTTAATAATGTTGTCAGTTGGTTATATCTGAACAACCATGCCTTTTGAAACATTTATTTGTTCTGTCAAACAATTTTGCACTTATTTTTTTTAAACTTTCTGAAAAAAATACTTAATGATAAAATGGACCAAAACAACAATTTTTTTTTATTTCACCTGTTTTAAAAGTTTTGATGATTGAAAAAAGTCATGAATATTGAATTAATTAGTATTGTGCACATAATCCAGAGGCGATGTTGATGTTTTTTCACATATGATCAAGTGCACTTGAATAACTAACACATGCTAGCTGTTACAAACCAGAAGTCAGGTCATCACAGTTTTGTTGTTTGAGACTAGGTTGAGTAAATACACATCCTTAAGGGCTTGCTGTTTATTACTGACTAGTCATTGTAGACACAGCTATCAAATTGAAAAAAAAAAAATGTGGATGACAATTTTGATGTTCAAAACAATATTTGTATGTACCGGAGAGTATTTTTAATTAGTGTATAAATGATCATATTATAAGAGGCTGAAAACTTGAAAACAGAGTTGTTATTACATATCTGCATGGTGTTGATTACTGTTTACAAATCATGTCAGGTCTATATTATATTTACACAACTAGTAGATTATGTGGGTTTGCAGCTTCCCCTCTCACATGACATCCATTCTATATCAGTCAAACCATTACTTGTAAAATAATAAATAAATCACACCTACATCCAACAAAATCGGTCATTTAAATTATAAATTCACTACAAGTCATTCTGTTTTACTAACATTTCTATTAACTGACTAGACTTTGTTTTATTATTGATTATGGCTGCCTGTTATTTGCTGCAGACCCATCTATAGTAGTTTGTTATTTTACTTAAAACAGTATTCTTATTGTATTTATTCTTACAACCTTTATTTCACTATTTCTTGATATTACCATTCTGTTTTTAGTTTATAGTTTAAACAGACAGTGTATTTTTTCTCAAGATGAGAAGTTTGTTTCATTTTCTGCTGACAATGTACAAGCTTCATATTTGTTGAAAGTGACTGTTGTAGTCACATTTATTTTTAAAATACTTCTTTAAAGTTCATACTTTTAAGCATCATATTTTTTCAGCTGAAATTATGGTGCCCAATTTGTCTGTTTTTATGTATTTTTCTATGAATCGTTTTGATAATTTTTGGACCCAATTTTTTATTGGCTAAAATTTTTGATCAAAATATTGGAACAAATTATGTGGGTTTTATTTGTGAATTGTGGAAAAACTTAAACATTCAAACTGAAAGAATGTCTCCACTTAGATTTCAACAGTTGAAAAACATTTTCTGTACAAGTTTTTGGGTTGAACTTTGACCTGGTCGATAATACATATGGTCATTTGAGACTTAACAAGCTGTGCTCTACAGTCAAACTATTTTTACCTGAATTTGAAAACTCATTTAGTTACATACTAACAAGTATCGCTAATAATTTAGTTTATTTATGGCAGTTGCTGTTATAAATAATGAGTTGAAAATGCATCTTTTCTCTTTATTTGATAAAAGTTATTAAAAAGTATTTTTTTTAGACCACCACCCCATCCATGAAACACCTCTGCATGTTTGTTTATGTAAATGTATTTATTTATTTATTTGAAAAATATTTATTTTAGTAACTTATTATTTTTGTTACATTAATAGCACCTATTAAAATTAATATTGACGTGTAATCTTATTTTTTGAAGCTCAGATGGAAAAAATGAACTCTTTAACAGAGTATAACAGAGAATGTATTATTGTGGAGATAAACGTCCCTTCTTTTTGATGCGGTGTGTTGCTATGAATTGTATGCAAATGCCGCCTCATCAACAACAATAACTTTGCGTACAAATTGTATTCAGTGTCACATTTTATGTAATGTTTCTGTGTGAATGTTATTGTAATAGAATGCATTGGTCTTCTATCACATGGCAGTCTGGATAAGAGATCTTGCAAAAATTTTGTCTAGAAATGGTATAGCTCAAGTGAGTGGATAATCCGCATACATTAACTGATATGTGTAAACATAACTCACATTGAATTATAATGTAATCTGACTGATGGTAGAAGGATGTAGTTAATTTTTTTAATAGCTAAGTCATCTAGCACCCTCTAGTCTTCATAACTACCAAATTATAATTCATCATTGAGTGCAAGATTTTTGGAATTTTGCTGAATGAGAGATTTTGTACATTTCATTTGAATAATGTTACACCCAACAAGTGTACATTCTTTTCTCAATAAAGTATGTGACAGTCAAACAATAGACATGTGTTAATTGTCTTTACATGTCACTGTGTGGGTTATCCCTCCACTGGGGGACTCTGTCATTGTAAGTAAAGTTTTTCTTTGGTTATTGTGGGTTGCATTGTTATATACCAGGTTTTTCAGTCAATGTGGGTTGCAGTGTTATATACCAGGTTGTTCAGTAAATGTGGGTTGCATTGTTATATACCAGGTTGTTCAGTAAATGTGGGTTGCATTGTTATATACCAGGTTGTTCAGTCAATGTGGG